AAGGAAGGAGGATACCAGGCTCAGCACTTCAGATTCCTAACAGACCCAGCTTTAAAAGGTCCCGCCTGGCACCTCTTCAAAAAAAGTTTCAATTGATAAAAGCGGCCCCAAGTACTAGAATGATTTCAAACTTATTCCTAATGTAAAAGTAACCATGTGTAACAACGTAGAAATAAATGATACTGAACCAATGCTTTGCACACGGGGTAAGTAAGGGCGGTCACACATGAAGGTCGATAAACTTAAAAGGCCAAACTTTTATCACATATTTTAATAATGACTTGACAGAATGGTGTATTTGCATAAAACAGATTTTACTGAACAAGATGTGAAATGCATGATGGGGTCTAAACTAATTGCTGTGTGTGCATGTGTGTGTGACACGTTTCCCTTATCTGAAATGACTGGCACCAGAAGCTTTTGAATTTTGGACAGTGTTTGAATTCTGGGAAATCTACACATACACCATGAAGTATCTTAGGGATTGGACCCAAGACTCAGTGTGCAATTCCTTTGTGTTCCACGGTCCCCTTACTTGCAGAGTCTGCAGGCGACCTATATATCTTTATTCATTTGTGGTTTGACTGTGGCCTATCATTGAAATCAGGTGTGGAATTTTCCACTTGTGTTCGCATGGTGGCTCTCAAAAACTTGCAAATGTTAGTGCCTCTTGGGTTTCAAAATCTCTGGCAAGGGATGTTCAGGCCATGTATGCATTCTATACTATGGAAGGAAAAAAAAACTCCAGTTGTCCCTGAGTGGCGAGGAGCGGAGAACTGCTTCCCTCGTATGTGTCTCCAGTTTACAGACAGAGGTAGAGGTTAGAATCATGCTTCCGGACGCAGTCTATGCTCAGCATGATCCAACGAAGTTTTTAAATAAAGGCTTTAATCTTTCCACACACTCCACCCAGGCAAAGGATCCCCAGGTGACAGTGAAAGTAAACTGACTGTAGAAGAAGAAGATGAGAGAGAGGCTTTCTCCTTGGCAGGCTTCTCCGGGAACAGGAGCTTTTAAACAAAAACCACAATCGTAGTGAGAAACACAAAGGGAAGGCTGAAGGAGCGCTCCTCACATAGCGCTGCCCAGGGCCTCCCAACTCCGCAAGACGCACTCCATCAAAGGACAGCCCTGCTGCCTCGGGCAGGTATGGGAGACAATTTAGTGGCAGAGGATGACCTGCCACGGGCAGCACCCACGAGGGACTCACAGGGTGAAGAACCACAGGCATGTGATGCTGATCTTCAACGTGGTAGTTCACACCTAGGGAGGTGTCTGTCATGAGCATGGACTTCTTCAAGTCAGTGGCTAACTGAGGCCACCCTTCCTTGGCATCCAGGACACAAAGAAGCTTCTTTTGGGGCTGGTGCCTGAGGAGTGATGCGGTCAGCCCTGATCTTAATGGGTTTAAGCTGGGTCCAGTCACCAGAGGAAGAGGAGTGTGGGAATGCACAGACATGCCCCCAAGAAGAGCTAGAGGAAGAAGCCATGCACCCTTGACAGCCCTGAAGCTATCACCTTCCTGGAGCTGGAGATGAGGGTGGACTTCATACACTCAGCTAGCAAATACTTTATGGAAAGCTTTATTTGTCAGGCTCTGACTAGAAGGGAGCCTACAACCCTGTCCCTGCCCCCCACAAAAGAACACTTCATGAAGACTATTAACTCAGAAGGTCGACGGTTTCTAAAGGAAACTGCCTAACTGACAGGGCCCCACTCCCACTAAATCCTCAGTGGCGTAACCAATGGCCAATTATCTGATGGCCAATTACTCAAGTTCACAATTACACAAGCTTATGAACTAGAAAAATAAGAAGACAGTGGGCTTCAGACTAGAATGGGCGGGGGCACTTGCCAGCCTGAGAGGAGGGCATTCTTATTTTTCCCCCTCCTTACATCCTCCAGCCAGCACAGAAACTGAATATATCCAAGTTCGCTTCTTTCACAATACTGCTTTACTATCTCATATAGGTTTCAAGAGATCTTCTGCCAGGGGGCTTCAAATCTGGGGGGACACAGTCTGGGCTACACTGTGACCCCTTCAGCCTCTGCCCGGCTGATCCTGAGAGACTTCCCAGGCAAAATGATTGCCTGTACCATGAGAGTTCAGAGATTCGAAGACAACATCATGTTAAAATTCAAAGCATCAGGACTAGAGAGATGGCTCTCCAGGTAAGAGTTTCTGTTCTTGCAGAGGACCAAGGTTTGGTTCCCAGCACCCATGTCAGGTGGCTCTTAGGGGATTCAAACCCTCCTCTGGCCTCTACAGGCACCTGCACACATACACTGTGCTCCTGTGTGCCATACACACACACAGAGGAGGGGAGAGAGAGAGGAGGGAGGGGTAATTTAAATTAAGTCTTCTCTCAAAAATGTTTTTTTTTTTAAATTCAAAGCAGAAAAAAAATGATTTGGCTTCAACTATCAACAGTAGATGTTTAAAAAAAAAATGAAAAACCAGAAATAAAAAATAGTAAAACTGTTTCCAAAGAATTGCTATGCCCCATACAATAGCACTGACAGGGGCTCTGCTCACTATGTAGAGCTTCGAGGAAGAACGTTCAAGCAAACATCTGCAGGTTCACATCAATTCAATGTTTTGAAAGTAGCATTTGCCCTGCACTAAACGGAGGATCAGATCAGGAAAAGCAAGCTCCTCGTGATATGAATTATAAACAAATGCCATTTGGGGGAGAGAAATGGGGTCAGAAAGGGAACGTCAGGGCAGGATCAAAGAGGAGTATTCAGCGAAGCACAAGCTTGAACAAGGCTGTGGTTCCAGAAGGCTACGCTGAAAAAGGCCCTAAAGCAACTTCCAACTCACTAATAAATAAATAAATTCTGACGAGGGCTGAAAATGCGAGGCAGTTACAGATTCTAAGTCTCTTCCCCAGTGTCTTGGCAAAAGTTTATTTCCTAGTACACCCACAGGATCCTTGCAAATGGGCTTTTGATGGGCAATTCACAGACAGAAAGGTTCAGGTACATTCCTGCTGTACACTCCTGGTCTAAGCATTTCTACTGGGAATTACCGGGCATGCACCATCCCAGCAAAACTTGAATAGGCCTGAACACAGCTCTGAGGTCTAGACCAAATCTTTGGGCCCTTTGTTTAAAGAGCATGAGCCTCATTAGATCTGCATACCAGCCTGTCCTCTAACCCTCCAGGGAGAGACTCTGGCGTGGTCCTGGGTGGCCCCAGGAGCTTGGCACTCTTGAGATGCCCGTCTGTCCCCGCCAGCAAGGTCCATTTTTAATTTCTCTCAGAAATTTCACAACCACAGGTTTGAGGAAGGAGACAAACACCGCTCTAGTTTGCTGACATTAAACTAAAAATATGAGCTGCAAACAAAAGCCATCTTTTACCAGGACAGGCTGGGGTGTCCTGGGGTTTCATGTGTAACACAAGACCATATTCTTGGCAGCCAGTCCATCTAACACTGTTGGGAGCACCCCAAGGAAGAGGGGCCAGTCTGTCCCGGGCGCTGTCAAGGAATCCCACGGCTGGCAGCCCTGCCTGTTTGATGCAAGGAACAGCTTTAGGGCTCTGCCATCCACCAAGAGCCAGGCTTGACTAATTCGGCCCGGCCATGTCTACTCAAAGTTAGGTGCCGACTTAGAGAGACAGGAGGCAAAACCGACTCTACTTCCCTGGAAGGAAATGTTTCTCTCTCCCTCCTCCCTGCAATTAGAAAAGTAAATTATTTACTGTGGCAACTCTGAGGCGGCAAAAAAAAATGGAGCTCGGTGCCATTGTGGCCCAGCACAGGTCTGCTGATGTAGGAGAAATGGGGAAGGGGTTCCCGAGACCAAGGCTGGGTGGCAACATACAAAACCTTTCCAGAAAGTCCCACCTGTTGGGTTTCTAAGCCTTGCAGCACAGCCAGGGCCTGGGCACTCCAGGGCGCCCTCGCTCCTCTAGCCCCAAACTTTCCTTCTGGATGGTCCATGAGGAGAGGAGCCTCCCCCTCCCACCTCCGGCCCGTCCTGATGGAGATGGAGAATTTAGCCTAAGCCAGGGACGTGTAAGAAAGGACACCCCCCCCCCCCACCCAGTTCCCGTGCTGCAGGAGTCTCCAGATGCTCAGAGCCCAAGAACAGGGGATGAGACCAGAACTGCACTAAGTAAATCCAAGAGCTTTGGTGGCCAAAGTGTGACCCAAAAGCTCTGGAGTCCCTAGCTGGCGGCGGCGGGGGGGGGGGGGGGGGGGGGGGGGGGGGGG